TAATTCTAATTACTAATTGCACTGCTACAAAATAGATCCAAATCTTGATTAAGTAAATGATGCATGATGGTGGCGCACGCCTTTAATCCCAGCACTCAGGAGGCAGCGGGAGGTGGATCTCTGTGCGTTCGAGGCCAGCCTGGTCTACAGAATGAGTTCCAGGACAGTCAGAGCTACTCAAAGAGACCCTCTCTCAAAACACAAACAAACAAACAAAAACAGAAAGAAAGAGAGAAAGACAGACAGAGAAAGAGACAGAGAGAGAGAGAGAGAGAGAGAGAGAGAGAGAGAGAAAGAAAGAAAGAAAGAAAGAAAGAGAAAATGATAGTAATTCTGGAAATATCACAAACAATATTAATAAATTGGTAATCTTGGGATGATGTTTGCAGAGACTGAACTCATATTTTGAGGCTTTATTGTTGTTGCTCACTTGTTTGCTACCCTGTCTCCCTTTCTTCTTTCTTTGTTGAGACATGGTCTCACAACACAACTCTGGATGGCTTTGAACTTGAAGCTGTCATTCTGCCTCCCCAGTGTCGTGAACATAAGGAGTGCCCCACATCACTCACCTTTACTTATTTATTTTGTGAACTGAAAGCTAAAATTGTATTCATTACGTACAAAAATGATAGCTTGAAGAATGCACACATTGTGAAGTGGTTAATATAGATAATTAACACATAGCACGTCACACAGCTTCGCCTTTATGACGGGAGTAACACTGTTAACAAGTCCTAAAATGCAGTATTGACGTTTGCTGTGGCTTCATGATCTCAACGTGAGGTTTACTGCAAGGAAATAAAAAAAATGGGGAGAAAGTTGTCTCTCATCTCACAGGCCTGTATCGATCTATTTCTCTTCAGTAAATGTGCTGCTTCCTGTGTACACAGCAGCACATTAGAGTCCTTCTGAATTCCGATGGCCAGTTAATGCAGAAATAGCTAAATAGCTCGATCAAAACGTCAACATGCTTAGTGCTAGTTATTAAACTACTTATTGTATCCTCAAGATATTTCAGGGAATTTTGGCTTGAAATACCTTTCTAAATGTTTGTAATACCTTGAATATTTAGAGTTGTACTCTCTTTCGTCTGAGAAAGAAATGTCAATTTAATTAATATTTATATCTATAATACAACATGATAGGTCAGGTGATAATAAACTACTATAGTTATTAGACGATTTGTTCCAGTCTTTAGAAGCTCCATATACTACTGAAGTAAAGGCACAAAATGCTGAAGACATAGCTTAAGATATGTGTTTAATAATTATAAGTCATTCTATGATGAGAATCCTCTAATCATCTATAATTTGATCATTGGTCTTTATCTCCGTTTGCTGTCCTCCAAATAGAAAACCTGGGAACCTCCTTTACTGGCTATCACATGTTGAAAACACATGTAGAAAACCTGCATGTGTGACTCTGAGCAGACAAGGATGCTCATGGCTGGGGGGAGCGCTTGCCTTTCCACAATGCAGAGAGGAGCGCCTGGGAGGCAGATTTATATGCAGCTAGCAAGAGCCTTATGGGAGACAGGGTGTCACTTGCTGCTCCTACGCTGTGCTCCTATGGTGCTCACTATGGCTGGGAACTTGCCGTGATCCCTTGCCTCAGCCTCCCCATCGCACTGTGTGCTTGGATTATAGGGGTGTGCCACAGAACAGAACTCGCCCATTTTAATTCACTTTAAATATAGGTCCGTAAGCATTCTCTGTTTATAGAATTAGCATTGTGTGTGTGTGTGTGTGTGTGTGTGTGTGTGTGCACATGTATGTGTATGTGATCTCTATTAACCCCCACTAGCCTTGAGAAACAGGAATTGTTCACTTCAGCAGAACAATAAAAAATCAGAGTCAAAAGTAAAGACGATAAAATCTGCCTGAACTCAAAGCACATCTCATTCCTATGCTTCCTAACTTCGCATGAGGGCTGAGAATTTAAAAACTGAACTTAGAACTGCGAATAGATTTACCAAACTATCGGTCAGTAAATCCTTCATGTGAGACTTTGGGCAAGTAACCAGGCGTTACTGTGGGGAAGAAGATGTCTGTCCCTTCCCAGGTCTGAGGAGGGCTAAGAACAATGATAAAAACAAAACACATCAGAAAAGAGACAGCGCTAATCCAGGAGCAAGAAGCCGTAGGGGTCACCAGAACTATTTGTCTGCTTGGACTAAAATTATAAACACTAAGTAGTATCCGGTTTCATGAATGTTGTGCCCAAAGTGCTTTGGTCATATGGCAGATTTTAAAAAAATCAAACACAAGTTAAAAACACTGTTTGCCAAGAATGTGCACAGTGCTTCTCAACATCACAGCCTTAGCAATGACCTCTTCTATGGACCATGTCTTACCGTTGAACCCTGAGCAAATAGATGTCTTGACTGGGATCTATTTCTATATTTATTATTACTGCACATCTAGTGCCTGAAAAATGATTGTAATCACACAGTTTAGTATTTCCGTTTGGTGGCTTCTATTGAAATCTCGCCTAAGGTAAGCTACAGTGCCAAACTGCTTATTATTAGCATTAAAGCAATAACTTTGTTTTTAAATGTGATGCATACAATGATATTCACTGTACCTTTCTCACTTCCCTAGATTCCTATGTCCCAGAGAGCAGCAAGGACACTTAAGCTTAGAATAACTCTAGGGAACACAACTCCAAACTCAGATTCTCTTCTGTTCTTTTTCCTCATTTTTAAAATGATCTATTTCTTTTTATTTTATGTGCATTGGTGTTTTGCCTGCATTTATGTCTGTGTGAGGGTGCCAAGTCACTTTGAGCTGCATTGCAGACAGTTGTGACCTGCCATCTGCGTGCTGGGAATTGAACCCAGGTCCACTAGAAGAGCACCCTGTGCTCTTAGCTGTGAGCCATCTCTCCAGTCCCTATTTTTCCTAATTTTTATTCTCTGTGATTTTTTTGATTGGTTGGTTGGGGGGGGTTGGTTTTTCTTTTTTCCTTTTTTTCAAGACAGGGTTTCTCTGTGTACCATAGCTGTCCTGTAATTCACTCTGTAGACCAGGCTGGCATTGAACTCATAGAGATCCGCCTGCCTCTGCCTTCTGAGTGCTGGGATTAAAGGCGTGAGCCACCACTGCCCAGCTTTTCTAATTTTTAAACTAAATTTGTCTTTAGGGTTTTAATGGATGACATCTAGGCCATGTGGCACAGAAATCCTTAAAATATAATGATAGTAAGCAATCTTTACGCCCAAGAAGAAATAGCCCCGAAGACACTGCAACTCAAGATAAGAGCCCACTCAGGACTGAGGCCAATGACAACAGCCTTGCAGAATAGTTAATGATTTACGAGAAACTCTTAAGTGCTTAATGTGGTCCCAGACATGCAGGAAAATTGAGTTCAATATTTATCAACTTCACATCTTTCTCTCAAGGGGACAAATGTATTGAAGCAATATGAAAGCAAGACAATGCAATCTTTCAGAATTAAGGGAACGTCATATTAAGTTTTTCATTCAATGCCTTATATGAGTCTGAGGAAGAAACAATTACTTCTATCAGAAATTACCAAAACTTTTCCTGAATATGTGATTTGAATGGAGCCTAACTATAAGGCACTTATAAATAAAAATATAAATAGTCTAACTTCAACAAATAATAGAGGCAAGAAAGCACAGTGCTCCTCTTTCCGGCCGTGTGAGGTACAGGTCTTCAGAACAGCGTGGTAGCTGAGCTTTGCCTTCTCAAAGGAAACACTTTGAAATGTGTGAGGATTTTGAACTATGCAGTAACCACGAGTAAACTTTTTATGAGGGGAGTAGCATAACGTTTTCTTATATTTTAATTTGATATTTATATTATCTTATATACAAGAAGATAAATCTGCCATCAGGGAGACAAAGTGGTGAAGACACACAGGAAAGACAGTCATGGAGTGACTTAGAGGTTGTAGGGGGAACGTGGTAAAAGTTTGACCAGAACCCTCTCCAAAGCCTGTAGTTCTCGCTGAAGAAGAAGAAGAGACTTGGACAAGCACTGAAGTGTGGGTAGAATATTCTGTCTTGGAATGGATAAATAGAGAGAAGGAAGGATGTGCCTGAATTTTACTTTAGAGTAGAATAAAAATGCAGAAGAAAGGATCACCGTGATGAAGGTAGCAGATGGCAGAATTTATGGCTCCTACAATAAAATAACAAGGCAAACACAACAGAGAATGTGTAGCTACATGTTACTGGAAAATTAAAGCCAGTAGTAGGAATTTAGATGCACAGAAAATGGAAAGCCAGTGAGCATTGCATGAACTGCAGACAAGGACGGCGATTTCAGGAGCTGGTTTCGTAGTTGTAGACGATTTCCTTCAAAGACTGTGGATGCAAGTTAGCCAAAGGGATGGGTGCTGCCATGCCCAGGCATCCAAACACAAACCGTGGAATGAAGATCAAAGTACAATTCAGTCAGAAGCTTAGGAACTCGGGGGCTATGCTACCAGGACTACTGTGACGCCAATGCTAATAGACAACAGCTTGACTTCGGATCTTCATTGCGCGGCGGAATAACAGGAAGGAAGAGAAATGACAAACTTAGAAGTAAAACCTGGGAGCACATACAGTAACACTGTCCAGATCACCTCCTGTGTCCAGTATCACCTCCTGTGCTTCTGCTAATGCGTAAGGACTTCCCTCATTCCCTCCCTGCGCGGACTGAACTCTGATAGGTCCTCATTCCCCCCCCCCCCCAACCCCCACCTCCCTGCCCGGACTGAACTCCGATAGACGCTCCATGGAGTGTTTGAACGGGACTGTGGTAGGCCCTAATGCCCCCTGCTAGGTCCTCAACCCCTCCCTGCCAGGACTAAACTCTAATCTGATAGGTCCTCATCCCCTCCCTGCCCGGACTGAACTCTGATCTGATAGGTCCTCATCCCCTCCCTGCCCGGACTGAACTCTGATCTGATAGGTCCTCATCCCCTCCCTGCCCGGACTGAACTCTGATCTGATAGGTCCTCATCCCCTCCCTGCCCGGACTGAACTCCGGTAGACGCTCCATGGAGTGTGTGAACGGGACTGTGGTGAAGGAGTTTGTCTTCCTCGGCTTCTCGACTCTGGCTGAGCTGCAGCTGCTGCTGTTCATTGTCTTCCTGCTCCTCTATGTGTTCACCCTCGGCACCAACGCCGTGATTATCTCCACCATCGTGCTCGACAGAGCCCTTCACACCCCCATGTACTTCTTCCTCTCTGTCCTCTCCTGTTCGGAGACCTGCTACACCTTTGTCATTGTGCCCAAGATGCTGGTCGACTTGCTGGCTCGGAAGAAGAGCATCTCGTTCCTCGGCTGTGCCATCCAAATGTTCGCCTTCCTCTTCCTTGGCTGTTCCCACTCCTTCCTGCTGGCAGCCATGGGTTATGATCGCTACGTGGCCATTTGCCACCCTCTACGCTACACGGTGCTCATGGGGCACAGGGTGTGTGTGGGGCTGGTAGCCGCCGCCTGTGTCTGCGGCTTCACTGTGGCACAGATTATCACAGCCTTGGTGTTTCACCTGCCCTTCCAGGCTTCCAGCCAACTCCATCACTTTTTCTGTGACATCGCCCCTGTTCTCAAGTCGGCATGTCACCACGCCCACTTTACGCAGATTACCATCTTCCTGCTCTGCGCGTTGGTCCTGGTCATCCCTCTGTTGTTGATCTGGGCATCATACATTCACATCATTTCTGCCATCCTCCAGTTCCCCTCCACATTAGGGAGGTACAAAGCGTTTTCCACCTGCGCGTCTCACCTCATTGTTGTCGTAGTCCACTACGGATGTGCCTCTTTTATCTACCTAAGGCCCAAGTCCAACTACTCTTCAAGCCAGGATGCTCTGATATCGGTGTCCTACACTATCCTGACGCCATTGTTCAACCCAGTTATCTACAGCTTAAGAAACAAAGAGTTCAAATCAGCTCTTCATAGAGTTATAGGAAGAACAGTCACCTTGAGACAATGCTAATCTATGCCCTGCCTTTTTCCAAATAACTAAGAATAAAGGACACGGAGGGAGATTCTCAAGATGGAAATAACTGAGCATCATGTTCAGAAATAGAGACTAGTTTTCCCTCACTTCCAATATAAGATTCAGAACCACACAATGTCTTGCCTTGATGACATGAATTATTGTCCAGTAAAGAATATTACAGGAACCTATTTCTGTTCTAGGGAGCCAGTGTTGAGGCTAATCTTGACTGTCAATGCAAATAGCATCTAGAATCAGCTAAGACACACATGTCTGGGCAGATGTGTGAAAGCATTTCCAGAAGGGATTAGCTGAGGGGAGGTCATCCCTCAGAGAGAACAGAACCTTTCCACATGTAGCCCAGACGTAAAGAGGTCTGAGGAAAGGGTGTCGTCTGCCGGCCTGCTTTCCCATATTGCATCTATGTCTGTTATTTTTGTTGAGGCTGCTGCTGCCACCACCCTGGGATGGCTGCTTTAGAATCCCGACATGGACAAGGAGAGAGGACATGGACAAGGGACAAGGACAGAAGACACGGGCAGAGGACAAGTGGGCCTCCAGGGACCCTCCAGGCCTTTAGTACAAACTTTTCGACTGCTGAGAAGTCAGCCTCATGGAATGAGCATCCATATGCTCTCAGCCTCTGCAGCATGCACATAGCTATTATTGGACTGCACAGCCAGTCTCTATGTACAGACCGTTCTACTGGCTCTATCCCCTGGGGAGCCTTGTCTAATGTGCCTGGAAAACACTTTTTTCCAGGTTGTGCTCTTTTGAAATAATTGCTGAGTTGTGTTATTTTGATATAATTGTTACAATTTTAATGAAATAATTGGACAACTACCAGTCAAAGCCTGTCACATATGTTATAAACAATTGATGCTCTCATGAGAAAGTCACAAAACAACTATTTGGTGTTTCTTTACGTTTTTAATTCACTGTGTGCTGATAACATCCGTGTATCTAATGAATAAGACTTTCTTTTTCAATTTCTATGCACGGGGAACAAATCAAAGTTTAAAACCTATTTTTCTCAGCATTTGCCAGGTGGAGAACTGTACAAGGAATCTCCAGTGTCTGTTCTTCACGTGACTCTGAACCATGTGTTTAGACCAGAACCACAGAGGGATGCTTTGTTTTTCTCTTTATTAGAGACAGGAGCCAAACAGAACTCTGCAACACAGATGTCTGTCATGTTTCCTTCCATGCTCTGCTTGCAAATAAAGAGCTCCAAATTCATTTTTTTCTTCTTTTTTTTTCTTTTCTTCCACAAATTAGTTCTTCAGTGGTCCTGCTATGGTGTCAGTCAACTTCATTTCTTCTGTATCTTTAAAGCTTGAGACAGTGTAAGGATAGGGCTTGAAGAGAACGAATACTAAAGCAAACTCGATTGAACTTAGGCAGCCGCTAAGTCATTTTTTCTTTTGCATGATAATGACCTCAGTCTTCTAGCAAGTGTCTCGTGAAAAGAAAATGAACTTATGGGCTTACAACCCGTGAATTATTGTGTATCAACGAGTCATGAGTACAAGGGTCAGCAAGATGGCTCGGTGGGTAAAGGTGTAAGCTGTCAAGCCTGAACACTTGATCTTGATCCCTAGAACAAGCATGGTGGAAAGAGAAAAATTAACTCCTGCAAGTTATCATTTGACCTCCACATTTATGCAATGGCATGTGCACCCCAACACACAGGTATATATTATACACACACACACACACACACACACACACACTTGATAATGTAAAGCTTAATAGAAATAAGCTTTTTTAAATAGAAAACAAACAGCATCCCTCAAACTCAAACAACAACAAGGTCATGGATGTTAGACTGCATTTTCTGGCATTTGATTCTCTGTCTTATTTCTCCATATGACTAAAGAAGTAAATGTACCAGACTGGAGAGCTGGCTCAGTGGTTAAGAGCACTGCCTGCTCTTACAAAGGTCCTGAGTTCAATTCCCAGCAACTACATGGTGGTTCACAACCATCTATAATGAGGTCTGGTGGCCTCTTCTGGCCTGCAGGATTACATGCAGGCAGAACACTGTATAAATAATATGTGTATGTGTGTGTCACATTTTAAAAAAAAAGGAAGTAAATGTACCTTGAGCCCATGATCTCTAAAGTTTAAATTGAACTTCTTGGTCATTTCAGTCATATACACGTACACACACAGAGAGACACAGACACACAGACAGACAGACAGACACACACACACACACACACACACACAATGGTGGTAGCCCATGCTTTAATCCCAGTTCTTGGGAGGCAGGGCATTCGGATCTCTGTTAGTTCAAGGCCAGTCTGGTCTACAAAGCAACTTCCAGGACAGTCAGGAAACCCTGTCTCAAAAAAATTTATTCTAGTCTAGATTTTGTGGGTGGCCTGGGGAGGGTATAGATGGGAACAGGGATGATCAAGTGAAGGAAGGAAGAGACAGAGGGAGAGCGTATGGGTAGAGATGACTGGAATTGGCGGATTGGGGGCAGATGATATGGAAAACAGTGCAGTGAAAGCTTCCTTGAACCTGGGTATGACCCTAGTGAGGACTCCTAGTAATGGAGGATACAGAGTCTAAACCAGGCGTCTTCCTGTTATGGGGAAATGACAGCTCAGAGTTTGTGGAAGTAGCCAACCAATGACTGGTCTAACCTGAGGGGACCATGCCACCAAACTGAGCCCATGCCCTATATTGCGTGACAAGAAACCAGAAGCATGGATGGCCCCGAGACCTAGGGTAGAATCAAACACAACTGACCAATATATATATATATATATATATAGAGAGAGAGAGAGAGAGAGAGAGAGAGAGAGAGAGAGGTGATTCCTAACAAAATACCCATAGATCGGGGCCTAGTCCAGTTGTCATCAGAGACGCCTCCTCCAGCAAATGATGGGAGCAGATGCAGAGACCTACATCCAAACAGACAGAGCTTAGGGAACCCCGTGGAAAAGGGGGAGGAAGGACTGTAAGAGCTGGAGGGGTCAAGTGCACCAGGAGAACACGGCCCAGAATCAACTAAGCAGGGCTCATGGGGCTCCCAGAGACTAAATCAGCAATCGTGGAGCCTGCTTGGGTCTGTGCTAGGTTCTCTGCCCATGCACTGTGGTTGTCTAGCTTTGAGTTTGTGTGGGACTCCTAACAGTGAGAGTGCGAGGGGTGTCCCTGACTTTTACTTGCTAGCGGGACCCTTTTCCTCCTACTGAGTTGCCTCTTCCAGCCCTGATAAGGGGTTTGTATCCAAACACAGTCCATCTTGTTATACCGTGTTCAGTTGATATCCCTGGGAGACCTGCTCTTTTCCGAAGGGAGAGTGAGGAGCAGTAAATCTGGGGGAGCGGAGGGGTGCTGGGAGGAATGGAGAGGGGAAGCTGCGGTCAGGATGTATTGTATGAGAGAAGAATAACTAAATTAAAAAAGAAGAGAAAAACCAAAAGAAGAAAAGGAAGTAAACGAGGGAGGGAGGGAGGGAGGGAGGGAGGGCGCCCGGCAGGGGGGGAGGGCGGGCGGCAGGAAATTCAGCCAATTTTGCCCAGCGCACACCTTTAATTTCAGCACTCAGAGGAAGAGGCAGGCGGGTCTCTATGAGTTTGAGGCCAGCCTGGTCTACAGAACAAGTTCTAGGACAGTCAGGGCTACACAGAGAAACCCTGTTTTGAAAAAAAATCTAAGTATGCCTCTTCTGAGTACACATAAAAATTTGTTATTCTTTGTCAGGTGGTATCTGTTTGCTTTCTTACCTGGTCAATACTTGTCTCAGTTTTGATTCAATAAAAAGCTAAAATGTCCCTTAATGGTTAAAAAAAAAAAAAACACACCGACTTGCCCTCAGTTGGAGTAGGCTAACAAGGCTCAGTTTTTTCAAAGTGGTCAGCCCTGAAATTATATACAGAAACAAAAATGAACTCAGCAGGTTATATTAAGTATTTGTGAATATACATGCATAGGTAACAACAGTAATTAAAGAATAAGAAGCCATCCATTTGAGAGGGATGCATTTTGATCGGTTCCATCTGTGTCGAAGAGACACGGGAGGTGTTGCAGGGAGGGACATGGAAGGACCGGAGGGAGGAAAGGCTGGGGAGTGATGTGATTACATTGAAATAAAACTCGGGTTTTTTTTACTTTTCCACTTTTTGAGATTATAATATAATTACAACATTTCTCTCTTCTGTTTCTTCCCTCATCCCCTCCCACAGACAACTCCACACACCCCTTCAAATGCATGGTCTCCTTCACTCATCATCATTACATATATATGCACATGAATATATATTCCTAAATATAACCTGCCCATACAGTTTCTGGTATGTATGTTTTCAGAGCCGATCAGTTGGAAATAGACAACCAATTGGTGTGTCTAGGCAAGACCACACCCCCAGCTTTCCTCCATGGCCAGCTCTTCTTGGTGTAGGGGTGGGGCCTGGTAGGCTTCCTTCACCTACTGTGGCATGTCTGTTGGTAGAGCTGCTGTTCAGCTCATGTTTGAGCAGTCGTGGGTGGAACTTCTGACATTAGAGGAGACACAATCCAACAGCAAACTCCCTGATCCTCTGACTCTCACAATCTTTCTTTGTTCCCTGAACTTTGAGTATGGGAGTGTTTTGTAGATGTATCCATTAGGACTGGGCCCCACAGCTCTGTGCTTCATGCCTTTGATGTGGGGTTCCCCTCTGTATACTGTGAATATGTTTTACTACCACTGGTTAATAAAGAAGCTGCTTTGATCTATGGCAGGGCAGAATATTGCTAGGTGAATAAACTAAACTGAGTGCAGGGAAAAAGAAGGTGGAGTCAGGCAGATTCCATGCAGCCACCCAAGAAGCAAGATGTGAGGTAACAAACCATGAGCCTCATAGTAAAATATAAAATAATAAAAATGGGTTAATTTAAGACGCAAGAGCTAGTTAATAAGTCTGAGCTAATAGGCCAAACAGTTTAAAATTAATATAAGCCTCTGTGTGTTTCTTTGGGGCTGAATGACTAAGGGGCCAGGTGGGACAGAAACTTCTGTTTACATATCTTTACCTCCATTCTTTGTATACCAGTTTTTAATATCTGTCCCTACTGTGCCCCATATTTCTATGCCTAAAATTCCCTGGTCTGGAAACCAGGGGTTGACTGTATGCACAAACTGGAAAATATCAGTCAGCCAACCTGTGCTAACTTGATTTCCCTTAATAATACCAGTAAAAATATCATCTTTCCTGAGACACTCTGCCTCATCCTGAGGGGAAAACAAACACAAGGGAGGAAAATCTAGATCACTCACCCATCTTTACCTGACACTTCTATGGTGGCGGGGAGGTCCGAGGCACCCTGAGTAAGATCCTATCCACACCGAACCACTAGAGAATTGCCTCTTCCGTGGGCAGTCCTGGGGTTGTCTTTCCAAACTCCTGTCCCTGGCACTGAGTGCTGGGAGGCCAGCCCTCAGCAGGTCAGGGAAACTGGAGTCGGCAAAACTTTACCTACAAAATTGAATTCTCCATTTCATTAACAAAAACATTTTAACCTAACTTTACTTACAATCTACATCTCTAAATTCTTTCTAAGGGTGCCGGTTGAAATGTTTAATGGTGTAAGCTCCTCCAGCAGCAATGTTTGGGAAAAGTCAATCACTATTATTGTACATACCAGGGGCACTGCCCAGTGAGGGGCTAGGAATCCCGTCAGAGTTTGCAACAACTCATAGATTATGAGGAACATGGTTATTGCGAGAGCAATGAGCAGAGCTGTGCTCAATAACAGCATGAGGGCCTCAGGACACGCAGTCCTTGGGGCTCTGCCTCTCCTAGGCTCACCCAACGTGGTTAGCCTGCTGAGCCGTTTTCTTAGAGTTTCAAAGTGCTTGCAGCTCCTCTCAAATGATCCCCAACATCTCCCCCTTTGAAATTGGTTGAATGAAGTGCATGAATTTCTCTCTGGGCAGAGTGGACAGCAGCTCCCAGATTTCTGAAGGTGACTGTCCTAACCCAACACTCACTAGTCGGGGGTCAGCAGCACCCTATGTGAGACACTTATCCACACCGACCATTAGAGAATTGCCTCTTCCGACATCTTCATGAGAATGACTGCTCTCTGGCCAACCACCCAAGGAGAACTGCCTCTTCCCTGGACACCTCTCAGTAAATTATCTCTTTCCGGTACCTGTTTGGGCACCACATGGTGCCAAGAGATCCAGTTCTGAGCAGGTCAGAGAGTCCAGA